TCATTTGCATATCGACCGTGAAAATACCGAAAACATTATTGCATGGGTGATATGCAAATTAGTTTGGGCCAAAATAAGTGACTGCCTAAAAGTACCATTACTGTTGTTTAAATTTCATTTCACTCGGCAAGTATATTCATGTACCCCAAGGGGAAAATATCATACTTCTAAATATTGTTTATTTCGAAAAACTGTACTCCTGAAGGGACTACTTTGTTTGCTCTCAAACCTCATTTGCATATGGGTTGTGGAAATATAATAAAAGGGCATTAATAACAAAAGTAATAAAAAATAAAATTAAAATAAGTTTATGGCCAAAATAATTAAAGCCCGTACACTACATCAGATTTTAATCAGATTGGCTGAATCCAAGCATAAGCGTTTCGCAAAACCATTCCTCAATTCAAATCATCGCACAATAAAAATAATGGCCACATTGACAGAAATTTGTCTTTAATCTATCTTTCATACTCAATTAGCCAGCACCCTAAATAAGGCAGATTTTCCTTCTCCTTCAGATTACCGTACAACTCGAATTTGTAAAACCCCGGGTCTGGTAACTCCATACTAAAGCATATCATTTTAATATCTGATGTCACTTCAATGTACTCGTCTGTTTTCTTCTCATGAATTCTTCTTTCATCGCTATACAACTGAAACTTGGTGCTGATTGGACTGGGCGTTTTGAAAGCGAGAACGCACTTTCCGTCAATCGCTACGATTCTTGATGAATTGTGGCCTTCCAACTGCAATCCAAGATTGGTAAACTCGTCATCGACTCCCCAAGCCATGTCCTGCAGCGGGTACAACTCGCCTTGCCACGGTGACTTGCTTTCTATCAACCACGTTCCGGCATAAGGGTAATTACTTCCGTGTTTGCCTTTTTTGGCAAAAAGGTTTAATTGATAATATCCACGTTCTGGCAATCTGAGCAAAAAGTATGACTCTGTTCCATCGTTTCTGTGATCTTCAAATGAGCATTTTCTTTGCTTGACGTCATCCCGTTTCAAATCATGTATCAGTTCGACATCGGAAGGTTTGGTTATAACAACACAGCATGTGCCGTCTTCGGCTATAATATGAGAGGAATTTCCGCCCTTCAGCGAGAGACCAGAACTGTGAAACACATCAACAGGTCCGTACGTGGTTTTTGAGTCTGGGTACAGCTCACCCTTCCACTCCGATTTGCATTCTAGCATCCATGACCCAATTACAGGGTAGGTCGATGACGACTGATTTGGTACATGAGTTTGGCCAAAAAGTTTGAATGTGTAAAATCCTTTAAGTGGAAGTCGGAACTTATAAGTCATTTTCAAACCATCGCGTGTGCCATCAGCAAATACCCAAGACAGATCCTTATTTCCACCTATTTCGATTGTATGCGACAAATCCGTATCGACGTTCTTCAGCAAAACCAATTGGCACGTACCATTCTCTGCAGTGATATGAGATGAGGTCTGACCGGAGTCCTATTTTATGAAAATCATCATTTGGTCCATACGTGCAATTGTTATCGGGAAACAAATCGTCCTTCCAAGCTGATGTGTTCTCTATCAACCATTCTCCTATTTGCTTCGGTTTATTTGGTTCATGACGTTTCCCAAACAGCTTGAACCAATAATAACCTACACTAGGCAGTCTGAATCTGTACGTCATTTCCAATCCAGTGTGAATTCCATCGGCAAAAACAGATGGCAAACATTTGGATCCATTGTGTTCAATTGAATGCAAAAGGTCTATATCACTTGGTTTTGATATTCTTAAATTACATGTGCCATTTTGGGAAACAATTCTTGATGGACCATCAGTTTCCAATCCAATTTCATAAAAACCACGACTGGGACCCCACAATCTCTTGTTTTCTGGGAATTCATCTACATCCTCTGCCTGTTGGCTTTGAATAAGATAGTGGGCGGCGTCAATGTATGAAACTCCATCATCGCCAATTTGGGCCATGATTTTTAAATGGTATTCTCCCTTATAAGGAATCAATATATGTAGCATAGCTCTGTCTTGATTTTTCTCACCACTAACGCAACGTAACAGTTTCTCATCTACTGTTCCCGATGTGTACTCAAGAGCACACATTAACGATGATTCGCGATTTGGCAGTTTTACATTTAAGATAACTGTACTGCTGTCCGCCTTCAAGATTGGAATTAATGGTGCATTAATCATACTGAATCCTTTATCCAGAAATCTTCTATTCACACCCCAACACCATCCGAATCGTTCTCCCGGGAAACTATGATGAGTTTCATTACCAGTGCCTTTTATGGTATAGCATAGTAAGTCAGAGGACATTCCTTGCACACACTGTTGTGCATCTGGCAGTTTTCCTACCAATGTCAAGGAATACGATCCAGCACATGGCAATCGAACATCGAAACATACATCATCTTGATCCTCAAATGTCATCACGTTGTTGCTGTAGTCTTCTCCACATCGAAGCATTGTTTGTGAAGTCTCTTCTTCATCAATGGTTACAAAACGTGCTCCATAATCCAAGTCATAGGTTGCTCGAATGCGTAGCAGTACCTTGTTGTTCGGTGTTTGTATTACACCTTCGTGGTGACTGACTGTATTTATTCCGTATGTGAAATATCCAAAAGTTTTTTGAGCATCATCCTTCCATTTCTCAAATTCTTGTATTTCCGATTGAGACACTGCTCTGTCTTCGTTTTCCTGATCATAAAAATGGCTGCAAATAAAGTGTTGCGGATCACAGATGAAGCTGGATTCGTTCCATAACTTTTTGACGTCATCTGAATGTTCGCTATTATCTAAAAACGAATCATATATAAATTAAGCAAGCACGTGTGAAAACAAGTATTTCTATGTAGGTCTCATTAATTTGTTTCTAATAGAAAAGTAACAACTGGCAAGTCGAGAGAGAAAACACAACGTGAATTTCCGTAGTACAATAAACTATGGGTAACAAAAATGGCACAGTATATTGAATAGCCACTCTAAGCTGTTATTATTATCTGTATACTACTTAACTTGTATAACTTACCACACGCCTTGGTTATCCAGGTCCAATCACATAGGTACCATTGTTTCTTAATTTGAATCTTATTCGAATTTGGAGTAGCATTTTCCAGAGAAATGTCGTCACCAGGTAAATAATTTCCATATTTTGCAGGACACTGAATTATTTCACATTCCAAGCCAGCTAACCTGAATAAAAATACACTATTTAGTGCTGTTTAATGCTGTTTAATACACTTTTCTATAACTAGTCCTCTATTTTCTCTCTTGCAATCGGGCGCCAAAATTGTGGAAATGGGTCAAAGAAATTTGCCTCTGAACGACGAAAGTGTCTGGTTGTGTAGCAAAAAGTTGTTTTGCGAAAACAATATATTGATAAACGAGTATAAATCATAACATTGTTACGCTATTAACGGTGTTTCGTTACTCAGTTAGGCCATAAAGCATCCCGTCTCTAGAGGGCGTGCTTTGTAGGAATAATATATGAAATTATCCACAAAGTGCTTTTCGTAGATTTAAACACGTATTAAGATTTAACAAAGACACTTTTGTAAAAATAATGTGATTGAATAAAAAAACTTACTCGCACAGATACTTGTAAAGAGTGGCATAACCGCCAAGCGAAGATTTATCAGTTTCCAAAATAGAACTCACTGTAGTGTCAATTTCATTACCGTCGTTAAAGTCTACGTGTTCGGCTTCCCATCTGAATATTACTCGATACTTTTCTATAGTATTTTTAGTGACTTTTAAAAGATGTTTAACCAACTGGTCTGCGTTCTTACTGAGTTCTTTTGGCGTCTGAAATATAATTGCAGCGTCGTAATTAAATTATATTATTAAAAACAATTAATAAACATAATTAAAAACAATTGCGTAAAGTAGTAGTTCGGATACTCTTAATATAATATTAATATAACTCTTAGTAATGCCAATTAACACGTAGTTGTTCTTATAAACTCGGAAATAGATGTTAGATGGATTTAATAATTACATCGAGAGCGTGTTGGTCCAAGAACTTCATTCTCTCATAGTCAGGGATGAGTATTTTCTTCTTTTCCCAGAAGGTATCTTCCATGCGAAAATGCTTTTTGATCTTGCTGGCCTAAGTAAGCAATAATAACGATGCTTTTAACACGTGTTACGACTAATAATGTTCGGTAACATTATACAAATAGACTGTCGAATCGGATACATGTGAATGTCGTATGTTATATGAACAGACAGAAATATCATTGTACACGGGATCGATAATACAATAAATATTATGGTTTGGTTACACAAAACAATTAATGAAATTCAATGAAATGAATGTGTAAATTGCGTACAAGAGGTGTTTCCTCCCAGAACCCAGACGATTGTGACACGAGAAGTACATTTTTCTACTTACCCCGCCACATTCTTGATTTACACGAGTTTTTCTGTTCTCGACAACTGTGATTTGTTTTGATGTTCCGCAACCCATTATAACAACTATTTATTCTGTGGAAAATGTAGAGTAAGTGCGATGAAGTCCGATGTGTAGTTTTTATGTCCGAGGCTAGTCTCGGTTGTCGTTTTGTAGGTAAAATGTCATTTCTGACCATACATGTATATAATAAATCATGTATCATATCCAAATAAAAGTCATGAGTAACGATGCATGAAAATATATATGTAAATATTTTGTTCTTGAGAGACAATGTTCAAAAAGGCCTCAAAATACCAGTATCTTAAAATTTGTCCTATGAATATTTTATAATGTTTTTCATCAGGTACAATATATTTGCTCATCAAGTTGCTTTCGGCCATAGTACGGTTGACCAATCAGTCTAGGAATGAAATCATCCAACTATCTAAACAGCCTATAAGGAGGCGTCGATTTTGATTGAAATGTCCCCGTTACATTATTGGCATTTTGCCCAACTGACCGGAGTTGTGACTAAGAACACATAGCTGCCTTTGTTTCAGCACAGCGTTGTTAAAACTAAACCCTGTCCTTCCTGTATGGTGATCATAATCAAATTATTACAGTTGCGATTTGTTGTTGGTTTGTTTTTGTCTAGGCGTATTAATATGTGTACATAGGTGTACATAGATACAAATCCCTCAGCGTAATTCGCGACCTAACACTTGCCAGAGATACTATTATGCACGACCATGAAATAATAACAGGTTTTCGCTAGACCATGTCAATCTCCATCGAATGGGTATTCATGAACGCGGATAGAAAACAAATCATTTTCAGCCTGGAGCAATTACTTGGAGCAATCGACTGCTCGACAGACACCGGTGACGGGTCTACACAAGAACGAGTCAAATTCAACGTACTTTGACGGTTCCTCTGTTGAGTTTTATAGTAGCAGATTTGTATGGAGGAGGGTCCGTGTCACCGTCATTTATATCGACATTCAGTCGCCACTTTATAGTGTTGAATAATATAAAAAAATGGCTTCCGTTTAAATTGGTAGAACACGGCATAGCGCAACAATAAATACTCACCTTGGCAAGAATACAGCGTGAACAATAACTATGCTAACACATAATGACTGCAACTGAACCCCTGACCTAGTGACGGTGCCGCCATGGCAACAAAACAAAACAGTCTTATCAGGGATATCAATTGAAACACTACGCCCGCGACCATTGAACCGTGTCAAGGTTAAACAGTGTCCACGTGAAGTAATCTCTCACATACATATATGCGTATGTTGAGGCGAGTTTTTTGAAATCCAACTCACGTAAAAAATAGAGAGGACCACAAAAGTTCATAATGTTTCAACACGTGTTTTGCGCAATGATACTCTCAACTAATTTTGGTATGTTATACTCGCGGCCTACCCGTGGATAATGAAGTGAGGACAATATCTTCACAAGCATTATTGAAAAAAAAGACTTGTACCATTTTAATTAAAGGTGAATATGAGGTTATTACAAGGATGCCGAAAAGTATGCACGAAGACAGTACAGCGAGAGTATCGACATCCGCTGCGCGTCGGTCGATGCGATGGCGTACTGTCTGAGTGCATACTTGTTTGTATCCTCGTAATAATTATATTATTATACATCTTTTCCTTCCAAGGATACATCATGGGAATGCCGAAATCCAAAAAGTTTGAAACAGAATCAGCGAACTTTGTATGGGATCCGGTCAAATCATGGAGGCTGCCATGTTTGTTTTTATTATTAGAGGACGCTTCAGCGCGTAATCGTTCCATATTTGGAATTCGCATTTCCTAATATGGTAGGAATAAAATACCCTGTAAAATACCGCAAAATTACGGTACGCCGTATGATTTTGTTTGGTAATTGGTGACATAGTTCTGCGTCATCCCGGATTTAACAAAAATATACATTTAGCTAAGTCATTACACTTAACTTCTTTGACTACTTTTCAGCAACCTAGGTACTATTACTGTTCACACGTTGATTGATTTGTTGTTATATCCAGCCCAGAGTAAACTCATTGTTTTTGTGTTTAGTCAAAGATTTTGTCTAAATTGGCCCCATCAACTAGGAAATCAGGCAACTTTTGACACGACAATTCCCACTTCGTAGAGGCTTATTATTTTGAGGTATTTTATGGTTAAAGCGGGGGAGTCGTCACCTGCGCATGCGTCAGATGGCCATAGCGTGTCATTGTTTACAAACAAGTGTCTACCCATGAGCCTTTGCGTTTTTTAGCGTGTGTTGTTATCGTCGCTTGGAACTCAATTCCCGCGCGTGCGCAGGTGACACCCTTTCAGCTTCAATCATTTGCTCATGAATAATTCAATGCATTGATTATGGCATGATCTTTCTAATACCAGTGTTACCATCATTTAAAATAAGTCGTTAGACGCTCTACCTGCTCTGATTGATGGTTTCGAACATTCCTTGGCTAACATTGTCAATAATTTAGGAAGAAATCTATTTTCTTGTCAACTCCGGGCGTTGTACTTTGAGTAATGCTTATCAGTTTTAGCTCCCTCCGGGGGTACTTGCAAAAAATACTGAAAGGGGTGTGTAGCTGGTTGTTTGAAACCCCTTTCCCTTATCAGACAGAAATAAACTCAAATTGACACCCCTTTCCCGACAATAAGCATAAACGGTAACAAGGAAAAAGCAGGTGGGCTTAAAAGAAAAAAAAATGAAAAATGCTTTGACGATCGAAATGAAGTAACAAAATCAAAAAATCAGCTTCATTCTCCTGATTGTTGGATCACTCAAGCTCTAGAGACGGTCCCATTTTCAGACAAAATTAATGACAAAAGGATACCCCTCAGTTTTCAGACAGACAGGGTAAAATAACATAACCTTTTACAGACAGAAGTGTTGAATTTGGATTCCCTTTTGGCGGCACATATATACATATAGCACTTCAATGTGAGCCCCCCCCCGGGTGTCTTAGCCAAGGTACAAAGTTCGAGTTATGTAGCCGCCAAGATAATGTCGGTTTAGAATATGTGTTACAGTCACCTGTGGCAATTACACTTAGCAGAAGAATGCAGCTGTATAATTTACACTCTGCATATGAATTACAAGTGTGACCAGTTTACAATCAACATGAAGACAAAATGACGTGTGGATTAACACAAAAACCCAACTGCCTGAACAAATCCCCAACAGTGGTGCTTATGTATGTCAAGGGTTGGGTATAAGATGTAAATCATTGTTTCTGTGCACGAACATGATTAATGATTGGTGAAGCAGATAAACCACGTGACAGTGACGTACTAGTAATTGGAGACCATGTTGTCGATCCGCTCTGCTAGGATTGCCTTTAAAATCACGTGTGTGTGTGTGTGTGTAATTTCCACTGTATTGACGTATTGATTCTTCTGTGATAACACGTAGTTTGCTTTTTGGACGGAGCGGTCCGCCAACCAGCCTACCAGCTTGTAATGTTTATTTTTTACTGTGCCATTTTAATCTTTCATTACACCAGCCTTTGAAATAAAGGAAAGGAGAACTGTTTGCACCATTTACTTTACAAACGTACCTCTAATAGCAACTAATTCGCCAAACAATAGGAAACAAGTGTTTAGAACATTTTTAGAAACAGTTTATTTTTAGAAACCATGTTTACCTGAAATTTGTTTTGTAGCATACATATATAAGTGCATTGATTTATTCATTTTTGAAAATGATTTAAAATGATGGTTCGGCCAACATCTTGAATTTAAATATTGGAAGTATTTACTTTCAAAGATTTTTGGCATACTCAACGATCTAGTGTTACCGTTACATACTTGGCATATATACTAACAACACTATAGTCTGCAATTGGTTTACAGTATGTATGTACCAAGTGCATTGCATTTAGTGATTAATTTAATGATTGGTCATATTTTGAACCAATGAACTCTGTGATGTTTCTCGCCAAAATTTGTCTGCACTATTTTTCTAAATATTCGTCAATTTTTTTTGGAAATTAACCTTAATTTTGGAGCCAACCGAAGAAAATTTGAGTAAATTTTCATTTTCTTTGCCATTTTGTCCCAATATTCTAAAGGAAAACGCAAACTATTAACGGGACTATTTTGTCAATTTGGAATGAAAAAGGAAACTAGCGGTGAAAAGGTAAGGAATTAGGTTGTATTAAAGTAGAGGTAATGTGAATTGTATATGTATAAAATCATATGTATTACGATAAACGAATTAGTTGTTGAAATACCACGTAAAATAACACAAAATTACGGCACGCTGTAACTAATGGTATTGCTGTGTCAGATGTATAATAATAGTTTTTCATGAAGAGGCATCATCCACTCAAAAACTAATGAGAAATCTTTTCTTAGAATGTTGTTGAACCGGACTAAATTTGCTAAATCACACCATTTTTACATGGCTGCCTCATTATTGCCAATATGTGTTAATAAACTATGCCCAGACAGTGTATGCCTCGTACGAATATACCTAGATAAAAAAAGCTTTCGTATATTCCTGCCGAGGTGTTCCCTGGTTTGAAGATTTTACTGGAAGTGGAACAACAAAGCGGGTAGTCGCGCTTCCTGGTTATCAGACACACTTATTATCGGAATGTGTGCAGTTTTAAATGGTGGCCAATCTGAAGAATTACGGGGAGAAAAAAAAGGCATATGCTGGCTGCAACTCCACCACTTTGTAAGTTCTATAGAAATCGTCCCACTATCTGTCACAGACCAGTTTGACCCCTGGTAACTGGTAACATGTGTCTCTAGAATGGGGATTATATTTGAAAACAATCCTCATGAAGAGTTATCCCATCAATTGTAGATTGGGGTCCAGAATGCATCGGTCACCGATGCGATGTAACAACAAATATTTGTTTAAATAGTCGTTGCAAGTCGTCTGAAAAATTGTATTTCTATGCACATGACAAGGACTTACTCTTTATAATGAGATGTGATACAACAAATGCTCACGTCACAGATTTATGTATGATAAATGAAAGTAGTACCTTTCCAGGTTCTGTCTATACAAAGTATATAACTTATAAGTTCAAGGGTATTGGCCCAAGTGGAGGTCGCTTAAAATACGTGCTAATGTGGTTTCTGCTACTAAAAATGGGAATATTGTATCACGTTTGAAAAAACAAAACAAAAAAACCCGAGATTTTTACATAATATTGTAACTCAATGCGACTATGCAAGCTGAAACATTTTATTATGTCTTTTTCTATTTTTTGCTTTAAGAACGACTAATGGTGAAGCCCAGTTAGCATAACGATTTATCATAGTCTTCATACTTGTCATCCTGTGAATCCCTATTCCGGGCAAAACACAAGGCGGCGTCCGAATCACATTTGCATATAGCTGCTTTACATGCCGCATCATTGTCATCACCGTATTGGTCGACCGTCTCTGAAACAGAACAATAAACAATAGACCAATTGTCGAGTGTCTACACATAATTTAAAAAAAAATAGGAAATACGCTCTCAACTTGCTAGAACTGCAAGATTTACATTTGAACGGAAGTACGTGTGTACGACAAAGAAAGTAAACACGTCGTACCAGACAGAGAGATTAACATTGGTAATGATACTCACTGCAGTTAATTTCAGCGGAATCTGTACCACAGTTGTCTTTGGTATAGTCGTACAAGACAAAGTACTGTTTCAGCCACCAACAACCGGACGTGCCATAATTATAACACGCATCGTGAACCTGGCAGCACCTGTGTGCGAGTATATATATATATGTGATTTCTATTATATACCATATCATAGACACCAGTCACTGTTTACAGATGGATTTTGTTGAAACTTGGTGCATACATTGGACAGTACGGGAACTTGATGCACGTCATTTTGTTTTTCAAATGGGATTCAAAATGGCTCTAGTGCCATATCATTTTATGCATTATAGTTACACCGAAAGCCTCATAACACTATTTTTGATAAAGAAAGCAGAGATCCATAAAAAGTTCAAATTTTTAATTCATAGATCAAGTATAAATTGTGCACTCGTGGAGAATCTTGAAACTAGTGCGTTACAGTTCCAATGAACAGCCAACCGTAATATAACTCACGTATCAGTGTCATCTAGTGGTATGCCTCCACCTCCCAATCCACAGTAACATCCATAGCCATTGTACGTACGCAGCCCATCAATTACCCCCAAGTTGGTGGCACACATAATCATGTCCCCAAACTGAATTAAATTACGGCGATGACGTACTTTCTGGAGTGTGAGTACAAGCCCTAGCATAATGGAATTGTAGTCAAAATTAAAAGGGAAAACAACGAACATGTGATTGACGAGTCGTATTGCAGTTGAGGGAAGGTTCACCAGAAAGACATACAAAAACACACTTATAGGTTTGCAAAAACACAATCATTTAGGTAATTTCCCTGCTAATAATTGTTATTTTTTTTGCATAGAAGCAACATGTGTTTATTTCAAAAATCGGTAGCGCATGTTATTATATGTATATTGTATTATAATATTATACATCTGTCTCTGTATTGCCATAAGTTACAGCGTGCCGTAATTTGGCAGTATTTTACAGGGTATTTTTATCCTACCATATTGGAAAATGCGAATTCTAATTATGGAATGATTTACGCGCGTAAGCGTCCTCTAATAATAAAAAAATATGGCTGCCACCAGGGTTTGACCGAACTCCACACAAAGAAGTTTGCTGGTTCTGCCCTAAACCTCGTGACAACCTCATATTAATTAAAAAAGTTTGAAGTACACCTAATGACGATCTTACTCACCAAACAATCCTACCATCAGTATGAATTTTAAAATTTCCTGTAATAAAAAAATATTATAAAGCTCTTTTATTTAGATCCCAACAACATCACCAAGGTTACGCACTTATAATAAAATAACACATCGTGTGAAGTGTACAAAATATAAAGACATGCACCAATTCGATAACCAGACCTCATTTGCTAAATGAGTGGATGCGTTTTGTTGAAATACGTATGTTTTTATGTTTAACAAACACTAACCTAATATTAAATACTCAACTTAAAAAACAAAAGTTTACATTTTCCTTGTTTCATTATTGTTGATCGAAAAACAAAAAAACTATTAATTTTGATATAATGACAGACACATTTTTGGCACAAATGTACATACACAAATAAAATATCGCCACCAGTTTGAGCGCAATATATGTGCATACAAATGCACGTTACTGAAATTTACCTTACCGTGACATCAAACTTGGGAACAAATAGAAAAATTAAAATATTCTAAGATTACTACGTGTTTTCTGTTCACTGCCATTTAAAGATTGCTAAAAGATAATTCATTTAAAAACCGTTGCACAATTGCAGTTATTACAAAAATTCTTAAGTTAATATACCTCCATTATATGACGTGTTTATCTTCGAATGTTGTATTTCACGACGTTACCCGAGATATCCTACATTTCAGCAACTGTCATCACAACCAACCAACCAGAAAATTGACCTGCTTGACTCTCAACTATCCATTGATATTGCAATATTTGATTTCGCGTAATTTAACTGAATATAGTAGATTTTATTTTGAGCACTTTAACTGACTCGTACATTTTTTTATTTATGCTTATTGGTTAAATTTATTCAGCCCTAAGCAATTATTGCATTTGTGCATGGATGTATACAACTTTCACAGTGTCAGACCTAGGTATGGTTTATTTCGTAGAAACAAAAAAAGAAGGTGAAAATACCACTCTCAAGCATGTCCAACAAGCAAAAAGTTTGGAAAGTCACACAGAAACCGGGCTTGACAATTCTGCTTTATGCACACCACTCTTTATATGCTAAAATTTCGTTATGCATGTTCATTATGTTATGAGTATTATGCATATACTAAGGACATTAAATGTTAACTACATTTTAATTTGTTTGGATGGCCGACATACATATTTAACAGTATGATATTTATCTTCCCTAATAGAAAGCGTATTATTGACCTTAACGTCCGATAGTACGTTTTGAAATTATATAAATATTGGGTAGATAGTGTTATAACAATATTAGCTTTGAATACCTGAATGAGCATTGCACATTACTGTTATTATCAGTTCGAAACAAATAAGTTCGGTTATATTTTCCCTGCGTGTTTCGTGTATGACCTTGGGTGGTTTAGTGTTTGTTTAGCATAACAGTAGTTATATATCACTTGATGACATGACTTCGCCTAATTCCAGAGCATAACCTGTCTCATTTTCAGTAATTTTGAATTATTTTAAGAACTAGTAAATTAATGAAAACTAGTTCCTTATTTTTGGTTCTAATAATACTATGACAGTTATCGTTGTTTCATTTAGCTTATAAATTGTATATATATAAATTGTAAATACCCCCAAATATCAACGAAACACAGTCATGCAAATGACGCAATTATTCAATTTCCATTATGTGCACATTTTAACGTCACATCTAACAAATCCGAAAATGTACTGGATGAAACATTTACATTTTGATTAGAGTATCAAACTGAATAGTTAGACCAGGCTTATATCAGGGTAAATTCGGGCGGTGACAAAATCACTTATGGTATTGCATGTGGTTAGTCCAGGATAACAATATTCATAATGAGAAACGAAACGAGTTTGTCATATAGTAGGTATCATTGTGAAACAAAACACTCGAATACACATGTACACGTGTGAATGACAAATTGTGCAAAATATGCTTCTTTATACTTATTATGCTTTATCATACTCGCTTAATGAGATATTAAACAAAACATAGCATCTCCCAAGAGTAACATTATTCTTTGGTTTGAACACTGCATAAGAACAGAAATCTCGTGCAATTTTGTCAAGGGATGTCATTCTTCACTAAATAAATAATGTAAATTATTGCATAGAAAACAAATAGTTCTCACCATATATATGAATATACGGCGCCGTCTTACATTAAACCACTTGATATGATGAGACTATTCCGACAACAGATCGACGAGTGAACATTTTATTGATATTGGTGATATTAAACTCAATTTGCAACCGAACTCGTTTCAATATTCGTCATCTTGCAAATTGTGCCGGTACGTATAACTTAAATTTCCGGGTGCGTGACAACGAGCTATCCCCATGCGGATGTTGTAACTAAAAAATGTCCTTCGCTCGTCACATAAAACGGTGACATAATTATGAAATATCAACTTTTGAACTTTCCGATATAAGTACAGTTTACTGCTGAGTTGATCAATGTGAATAGCTCATCCATAAATTTGACTCGTTCATCATCATTGTCTAGCGCTACCCTGTAAAAATCAAACGTTGTACACATATTCGGCCTATTAATTATTGGACTTTTGCGGCCCAAGGAATTCGCATTTCCTAATATAGTAAGAATAAAATAACCCGTAAAATACCGCAAAAATATGGCACGCTGTAATTTATGGCGTTACGATGACAGATATATGATATTACTGCATACTATCATATACAATACGTTGTTCACAGAACTATTCATACAATAACAATACGATAAAGACTTTAAGTATTTTTATGGGAAATACAGTATTCTTACTTAATAAAATAATCGATGTCATTTTCCATAAATCAGTTAAATAAATTAAATTAACACATTACATATTTCACTATTAGTTCAATACAAAAGAAATGCAAAAATATGGAGAATATAGTCAATTAGTGTTAATATTCACGTGTAATTATAATAATTAATATTGGTGGGTTTATATTGAATACATTTCGTCACTTATGATTTATTCTTAATTTATTTCCTACTTTCCCTGTAAATAATCCCTTATTTTCTTTTTGGTTAAAAAAAAAACGAAACAAAAAACGAAAGAATTTCACAAAGTCTAAAAACGGAAAGACTTTATCGTAGTGTTACGATGATAAGTAGCTTTACGGTCGTTATAATGTGACTTATGGAATAACAAACGACGCGGTGGCCATTTTGAGATGTAGAAAATAACTTCATTCCCGCGCGTGCGCAGGTGACGACCATCTCGCTTTAAAGAGTTGGATTTTGCCATGATAAACGCAGCCGCGACAAAGAACGCGTTGACTGACTCTGCTGGAGTAGAGTCCTGAAACTTTGAAGGCCGACAAAAGCTGATGGATTGCAAACAGATGAATAAGATTTACGATACAAAACGCTTACCAGAAGGAGAGTTTGCTTCCTCGGCAGACTAAAATCTCGCAATGCAATGTTTTCGAAAATGTCTCAGTGTTCATAATACTTGTGTGCAAAAACTGTGTAAAAATAAAAAATAAATAAAAAAAAACTAGTAACTCGGCTTCTTGTAAATCTTATTGTTGATACGCCCTTTGCTAAAAGAATTGGTTTTGCATAAATACTAAATTCCAAATTTCTAATCAACAGCTTCCCCGCAACATTGTTTGGAGCGATGAGCAATCTGCTGTAAATGCGATCATTTGTTACGTTGCGAGTAGGCCCTTACTTGATCGCCAGGTGTTTGTTTTTCAACCACAGACGGCTAGACCCCGGGATATGGCAAAAACAAATCACACAATGCTACAATTCTGGTATGTGTTGTGTTTTACAGGTTAACATTATAGTTCAATTAAAAATTCAACTTTTCTGTATAGACGGGGATAGGTAATTAATATAATCAAAGGGACGAGCGGATAGAAATTTCGAATTTTTATTTACAGTGACAACGTCCGTGTGAGTGTACCAAAAACATTTCGTAAAAAAAAAATAGCCATAATATTCTGCGTACTGTTTTTTCGCGGCACACCATATCAGATTACCGTATCCTGGCGACATAATTATAAATAAAGCAACAGTCGGTTGCCATGTAAGTTATATAGGTACTAGTCGGCATGACCTTTCTTTCACAGGGTAACCTCAAAGTTTTTTTTCCGTGTTTGTTACCCCGCACGCAGTAGTCACTGATCACTGAATTAGCGTATTCCAAGTACCATACCGTCGTCGTGTAAGACAGTCACTAACACCAAGCCAAGCGTGTCTGCCCAGTGCGAATGTTTGAAGGTAAATATTAGTAGTCGTTATGTAGCTGTCACCTACACCCTTTCACTTCTCGCGTGACTGGCTCTCTGTAAGACTATGTTTTGTTAGAAACTGGCACTCAAGTGGCAGCATGAACGTTTTGTCCACACTACAACGCTGATGATTCTTAAAATGTGACTTTAACAAAACAAATAACACGTCTCGACATGAATACAAGTCACAAGTAATCGATAAAGTACAACTGATACACGCACCGGCAATACAATGCTCACGTTCCTATACAGTGTCTGTAGCGAGTAACGCACTCTGACACACCAGCAAAATGCCGTGATCGTGTGCATAACAACGTGCATTAGCGCTGTTCAACGGCAGGCACATCTCTCTGTAATAACAGGTAATACAACTCTGATACTTTGTAGCTCTTGTCGTCAATCTTGTCGTATCGAGAAAGTTGGCCGAGCACGGGTTTTGAATCAACAGTTACAACACGTTAACAGATAATAGAAGCCTTGGTGGTCATGTTGTTGTTTTGTTAAAGTATCACCTATCAGCAAATGACAAAAGTGTACAATACACCTATGTTCACTGCTGTGCACGTTTTCGTGGTGTAAGTCTGATAGTCCCATTTGAACGCTTGTGAAATATTCCACAACGTAGGTCATATTTTCGGGGGCGGACATCCAGGCATTTTCATCGCATGGCAACCATCACGGTGCAAACAAAGGCCGAAAACTCTCAGAAAACGGTACTTTGGGGTTGGTGTTGAGACTCCCCTGAACAGTGTAACAAGATTACCCCTGCGTGTGTAACGCATATAAATTTGATTGTTCGGAATTACTTCAAAGTTGAATCCCTGTTGTTTTCTCAAATTTTCACCGAGTCTTCGATCGGCGATCCGCGTTCTTCAGCAGCGCGCGCTTAGCCCATAGAAATACGTGTACATTGGTGCGCGTCTTAGCAACGTGGAACGTCTTGTGACGTAGCTCCGTCCGGTCCCCGAGGATTCCTAGCTGGCGTTCTCGTGCGAACTGTGGGGTTATGTCTATAAACAAACTGTTTCTGGTGTTTCTAATACATCTCTTCCTTCCCATTCAGTATGAAATTCTTACCTTTTTCAGAAATTATACCTTGACTTAAAAAAATGGGGTGCTCAACCTCAAAATCCACTGTGGTAAAGAAGAGCAAGGTGCGGCCGGTCGTTGAGAAGGGGACCGGTGAATTTACAAACGGACCGACTACACTTACTATGGAAGACATCTTCTGGGAACAGAAGAAAAAACTCATACCAAACTATGAAAGGATGAAAGAGATCGATAAACATGCACAACAGGTTTGATTTTATGTCTTGTTTTACAAAGAACAATGGAGAGTTCACGGAAGTCAGTGCCCGGGGGTTTTACATGAGCACACGACCAGTCACGCATGTAAATAAAAGACCACAGACTATTTAAGTTTTTATATATTTACAAATAGGTCCGTAAGCCCCATTTGCTTATAAATGAAGTATGTTGTATTTTTTAAAAAAAGTTTTACTTTACATAATTTAACAAGTCGTGGCTCAGTCGCCAGAGTTATATATTAACATATAATAACATTAAGAATCAACATTACTCTAGCACAACCCCACATATATTAGATTGTTTTTCACGGAGTATCAGTACTTTTTTTGAATACTACTTAATACTCTTGGAACTGAATTGATCAATACAATTATTTTGTCTATTATTGTGTCATAGCCATGAGCCAACATTAGGTAACACTCAGCGGCTCATCCCCCCCCGATATATCTACATATGAAGATAATAAAATTAAGCAATTGTGTAGATTTCTGTCATCCTCACCACGAAATTAAAAAGTGAGTGCAAACATTGTGGGACCAGACATATAATATTAAATAGAGAATACTGAATAGCGTTGTATATAGCATCACCATATATCACCAATTCCTATATGCAAGACCATCTCACAAATAAATCATCAGAGGTCAAATGGTCACCAATTTTAGGCTGGACCCGAGGACTTTCATCGTGATATAATTGGCCTTTTGTTCGCCATATAACAGACACAAAAGTCGATGAAAATTACTTGTATTTGACAAAATTATGTCTGTGTGTCTAAAGACGCGCCAAGTGTTGCAACAACCGCCAACTCGCTGTCCATATTTGTCAATCTTTTAAAAAGTAAAAGTGAACGCTGATGGCGCCCTGTAGACCAGCCAACTCTAATTCAATTTTGGCGTCTACATGCCAACTCCCAAACAATACAAACAATATGGATCTTTTTATGAGCTTATTATGAAGGACATTAACATTTAACAAATGTAAGTATAGTAAGAAGTAGATAAACGTCTATGGTGTGCCCCATATAGGCATATGGCTCACTAATGTCATTCAATAAACACACCAGGCCAGAATTTCTGATGTTTGACATTTTTATGTCACCTACTTGGGAAGCGTTGAGTTTTATGGGTCGTAAATGGATGCCATAAAAATACAACACTGCCACAATGTGCAAAGCTTGTTACGTGGATTTTCTAAAACATTTTACTAAGTCTTCACCAATAATACACGCTAGTTCCTTTTCCCCAAGCATCACTTTATTATTTTAAATTTATCTGTAAACCATGGTAGAAGGGCTAAACATTTTATGGTAAGTGGCATCTAGCTGACCATTCACATGTCACATGTCACCTAACTGGACTCACTGGTATCGGAAAAGTGATGCAGCTTTAAGCTAATTAGCTTAAAGTGCCTGTGAAATGGCTGCTATTTTCACGTCTAAAATTATCCATTGATACATAAATATTATTAATTTTTATGTTTCTAAGCATGAATTTTTTTTAAGTGAAAAAATGTGTTTTAAACTCAATCTACGGCAACTTAATTTTTGTGTATTTTAAAACAAGGCTCCTCATTAGCTTCTTATTTGCACACAGAAATTCCCCTTGTGACGTCAGAAGGGGAAGTCGCATGACAGCTTGCATTGCCAATACGTGTAAATAAGGCAAATTTCTTGTGCAGTTTTCTCGTCTTTGACTAAATTTTCACTTATGTACTTGTTCGTCGAGGAAGAATGGACCATAATGAACACATAGTATCAATTTTTGTTGCATGGGGTTGAGTTAGATGCGAAATATGTTCGTTCTGGTGTAGCTGGTCACCGTGATCGTCACCGGCGCGCAAACTGTCGCTGGACAAAATAGAATTTGACGTCGGAATTATTTCGTTATTTAGCAGGTTACTAGGCATGTTACTACACTATTTTATTTCATCGATCGTCTGAGTAAAACTTTCAAAATTAAAATAAAAGAGAACATATTTTGACATTCTAAACAGCTGCAGACTATAGTGATCACTATAAAATAATTATATAAACCGACGAATCACAGTTACTAAATTAAATGACAGCCGCGTAGAAATAAATTTAAATTTTGTTAAAATAGGTGAACGCGTCGGGTCTTATTTCATAAATTATTATGCAGATCAAGCTGCAGGCATGGAGGTAAAAAAAAGAACAGAGGTGTGAATTCGACATTCAACACCAATCACCAAACAATTCAGAAACTGTTAGCCTTCGAAAATGAAAACAATTAAAAGTGTGTAAGGGCTGTGTAGTTTCCTGTTTGTCCAACGCTTCGTTTTCGTGTCACTGTCAAAATTATTGCTACTCTTTACTTAACAGGGACTAAATGGTCTCTATAAAACGATACTGAGGATCGCAAAATAAGTCAACTCATTTGAAACACTTGCCGGACGTCTCTCTCTCTTCTGAAATCCGCCTCGGTGATCATGGTCCGGAATCTATTTCTTTCAAAAGTGTTGTGCCAGGTTTATGTTGTCGGCGTTTCTTTTTAAACCCTGTTGTTTTTTTTCATGGAGAGGACATTTTTTCCCAGAAAAAAGAATCTGAGGTTAAGTGGCTTTCGTCCACTGATGTCGCACCTTCGGATCGATTAGAAACGTGTAAATACTAACACTATGACTATACGTTTCACTGCAACTGCCCACAACACAACATCTAAAAACTCTCTCTCTCAAAAAAAATAAAATAGAAAAAAAAAGACAAAAAACGCCGACCGAAAAATGTATATCGTTTAAAAGTATACTGAATGACCAGTGTTATTACGGCTCAGGGGTATGACTTCCTCTCACATTTTGACATTTGGTGGCGCACTGTCGGCGAGAGTCGGAAATCAGGAAACAGTCGACCGTTTCAGGATAGGTGGGCGTTGCTACAACACGAGGAATATCCCAAATTTTCTTGGATACGAGTAATCATTTTCAGCAAAAAAATCAATAACTGCCCATTTCAGTGGGACACAGATCTAAAATGGGAAACGTGGGTGGGCATTGCACAGGCACTTTAACCTACAATTTCTTATTGTGAAGCCTTTGTCTAGTCCGGGAAGATCATGGAAACAACAGTACACTGTTTCACCTTAATACAATTTTTTTTTTGGAACTGCCATTTACAGTAATTAGTTGAGAGTTTTGATTCCATTCTGGAATTAATCACAACATTCCATTGTCAATCCGGGCTCATTACTCATCCATCCATCTTGCATGTTCATATTAAAGCTCCAGTCAGAGCCCTTCTTGACATAGAATTCTGTCACTAATGCAACAAATCTTTTAGACCCAGTCTTGAATTAATAGCTTATTTAGATGGTGTTCCACGGTCTCTACCACAAAGACTACTCTGATCTTTGATTTTGTGGATGGCAAACCTAGTGGCGTGGAAGGAACCACATGTGTCAACCAATAGCTTCAGCAGGGATTTGTTGAGCATAAAACTTGTCTCAGATGTAAACTGGTGTAAAGTGGCGTTTGTCTTCATATTTTTCAGGATGAACTTCAATGGTACCATTCAGTTATAGAACTAAATAGTGTTATTTTAACCTCTGATGGCCTACTTAACAAATATTTAAATAAATGCTCAGATTGCTTGATAATAAACATTCAGTGCTAATTAGGTTGTGTCAGTTATTGTTCAAGGTAAAATTGCTAAAAATGATATCGGCTTGTTTTATCCATCTCTTACAGTTTCTTTCTAAATGGTAGAATAGGGTTACCTCTGAATGGTCTGAATTATTTTTAATGTCAGTTCTCAGCCATTTCTATGCCTGGTGATTAGATTAATGTATTCTTGAGCAATAGAGGGCTTCATTACACACACATTGAGATATGCTAAAAATATTCTATGATTAAGTTTCCCATACATCTTATAATTTGCTGACTGAGCTTCAATTTCCTTATATTTTTTGGGAGGGCGAAATAACTAAAGGCTACTGTTCATTCTCTACAAGTATGGACCATTAAAAAAATATTATTAATTCGTTGTTTCATGGATGGTACAAAATTAAATAAAATCTGGCCTCTTGTACACGGCCTTGTGTCTGTGTGTGCTATGTTATATGATTTACGTAATCATAAACAAAGTCAGTAACACCAGGAAAACCAGTTCAATCCGCCATTAAATTTCCTTGTAGTGAAGGATGATATTGAAGTGCTTTTATCAATATTAATAATATTATTATTATTTTGAAAAGTAGCTTATCAGTTGTTTTACCTATACCGAACTCGGGTATTTTGAATGCGTGAACACATAAATGGAACTCCCATGGCCAATTCTTTATTTGGTTCTCAGTGAGACAGTACTTGTAAATGTAAAAAAATGATTCATGCATGTCTGTCCTCTCCATCTAATTTTAATGCTACTTTTTGCGTTTGCTCAATAGTAAATAAAATACCTTGAAACTCTTATTTATTCTCATCACTTAGGCACCCGAGGAGTTGAAAAATTCGCCAACGGAGCTTGTTTCCTATCTGACCCAAATTGCCCAATCGAATTTGGAAAAATTTCGTGCGCTGTTCAGGTGGGAGGCAGAACATATCGATTATGATGTAGAAAGTTACTATGGCGATTTGGCAAAATCAGACTCATCGCCAGAAGGGGTGTTAAAACATGGCAGAGCAGTCTGTGCTGGATATAGTGAACTATTCAAGTATTTATGTGGGTGAGTTATTTAATACCCGATCATATTAAGACCAACACCCAAGTTACAAAAAGTAGCATGGGTATAAGTTGTATTACTTCATATCAACACGATAACATTTAGTGTATTATAGTATTATTTTTATTTTTTCGCGCTTAATCGAAATATAAACTCGTTATGTTTCAGTATTGCAGCTTTGGAGTGTGTGACTATATCAGGGGCATCTAAAGGCGGCGACTACCAGCCTGGAGATACGATTCCCATAAACAACAGCAAGATTAAAACTGACCATGCATGGAATAAAATTAAAATAGATGGGCAGTGGTACCTCTGTGACTGCACCTGGGCTTCCGGATCTGTGGGTACAGACATTTTGAATGACATATTTGTTCACGATCAGATGATAAGATATTTTTTTATAACTCCTATTCACTTGTTCGTTTATTATGAAAAAAAAAACCACAAGCTATAGGCCCTGCTGTTGATAAATATGCTACACAAACTATGTACACAGTTTTACTTGATTATGAATTATCAGTTGTAATCACAAATTAGTGACATTCTCTTTATTTATGAATTCATCTACATCTAGGATATGACCACAATCTTGGAAGAAGCAAATTTACAAGATGTTGGAACGAATTATACTTCCTGAGTGAGCCAGAAATGTTTGCAGCGCTCCACTTTCCAGTTGACGCAAATGGAAATAGTGCACCACACGAGCAGTTACTGAAAAATCCAATTGCCGATATCAATAAATGGTCAAACGAGCCAAAGAAAGATTGCAGCTACCATCTATTTCAAATGGAGACTGTCAGTCATGAGCAAGGTTTAATTGAGACTGACACTAATGATGTTCGAATAAAAATCAGGTGTAAGCACGACCTGGAATTCTGGGCCAATTTAAATGCATTGAATGCTCTGGGTGTCAACCCAAGAAAAGGTTCGTCTCATTCTGATCACATAATGATGTTTGTTACTGGGGATATTCTAGTCTGTAGAGTGCGCCTGCCTTGTTCTGGTGAATTTGTGTTGACAATTAGTGCCAAGCCAGTGACAGCTTCTGATGAATTGACCTTGATAAAAAGTACAGTTATTACCTACACCCTCCGAAGCAGAGATGGTAAAACAAGAGAAATCTTTCCGCCTGGTGTTGCCAATCATTTTTGGGGTCCATCCCCACAGTTTATCTCCCGAGGGTTCGAATGTGCAGCAACAGAGCCTATTATTACAACCAAGAGTGGAAAAACAGAACTTGTAGTGACACTTCCTGATTATCAGACAAACCTATTGTCGGAAATTGTGTATTTTGATGGCAGCAAATCTGAAGAATTGCATGGTTATATTTATGGGGAGAAAAATGGATCTAAAGCTGTATTTCACTTGGTTCTTCCACACTCAGGTGAATATCGTTTCACCGTCTTGGCAAAGTTGAAAGATGGCAGTGATAGTTACTGGCACGGCGCACATTATCTTATTCAAAATGCCCGTCCAGCTGAAACTGATGAGAAATATCCAGAGGAGAAAGGTCTTTGGGGTCCTGGTGAAATATTTTACAAGCACGGCCTCCAGGCTAAAGGCTCGTCCACCGTTCTAGCTGAAAATGGTACATGCCAGCTCAAAATAAAAAAAAGCATAGATAGTCTGCTTATTTTCGGCTTAGAGACGAATGGTTCGAAGATTCCAAATAAAGAAACGTACATATGTGCTGACGAATCAATTGATGGCACAGACGTCACTTTTAATGCTAGACTCCCAGAACGTGGCTACTACAAGCTCCATATATTTGTAAAAAGTCGAAACCAAACTGGATCCTATGCACATGCTGGCAGATGGCTCTTCCATTGCATGGCTCCATGGACTGGCGCACTTTATCCACAGGCCAATGGGACATGGGGAGCGAGTGAGCATTTTCTTGAGCTAGGTCTACGCTTAACAGAACATAGGTCTGCAATTATTCCAGCTGTCGGCGGAAGATGCGAGTTGACAATACAATCTAATGAGCCAATACAGACTACATGGTACCTGATTAGAAATGACTTAAGACTGTCAGAAGATGAAAAGAAGGCGTGCGTCAATATACGCACAGAAGACACCAAAATGACATTTGTCATCAACTTACCTGAATCTGGATTCTATAAGTTCGAACTGTACGGCGAAGTAAAAGGGAAACACTCACTGCCCTATTTGGGATGTTGGTTACTCGACAGCATCAAGTAGACATATGTTGTTTTAAATGTTATAAAATACACTAATGAAGACTGCGATGTTTTGAAGTATATTGAGTATGAAGATTGTATGATTAGTAATAGCATTTAATGCAAGTCTAATGTTGGGTGATCTCGTTGAGGTTAGTAAAAAAAATGCAGCAATGAATAATGGCGTATTTGAAGATTATAATAACAGCGCCTCGCAGCGATTGATTTTCCCATGCAGTGTATATCAAAATGGAACGTCGTAACTGACAACAAATAGAGGTGCCACGCCTCACGTTGGTACATTACAGGACTCGATTGCGAGTATGGTACGCGCTCATTTCTCTTGCTGTATTACTGCAGGGAGTCCAGATACCCCCCCCCCACCCCACCGGGCTTGGTGCATAGTTTATTATATTACCGGTGTTATGGTATGCCATATCTACGTCAATCAATTTTTTAGTAGAGATTGTGTTTGTGTTCAGGCTTCAATGAGCCACTTTTTACAAACTGGAGTCATAAACAGCGTTATGCGTTCTGCTCTTCACGATTGTTTCGTGACTGCAATGGCAGTATTATGAAGACATTAATATCATATTTCATTCTATATCATTCAAATAAATACTTGGTTGTTTTCTTCTCAGAGCTGGAGTCATTAAACAGCGTTCTGCGTTCTGCTCTTCACGATTTTTCCGTGACAGTATTATGAAGACATTAATATCAGATTTCATACTATATCATTCAAATAAATACTTGGTTGTTTTCTTCTCAGAAACGTTCGATGCTTAATATGAACTTTGTGGGTAATTTAGTGGATACTCGTTGAATGAACTATGAATGTGAAACGACTATCGACGATTTATACTGTTGTATGTCACACATTGAAGGATATAGTCCGATCGCCCACACCAAGAAACAAGAATACAGAATATCCCAAACTTATTCCTTTCGCATTTTCAGAAAAGAATATGCTATAAAAATTAAAAATTAAAATGCCGACACTTGGAAATATACAACTTTTCCATCTAGCAATAACGGTCATTTACAATAACTACGACATTCTTCACAGAACTAAAGTAGACATGCTGATAGCCAGAACACAGATCATAGTGACTCTCTCCATGCGTTCAGGTTTCCGGCAAATGTCCGAAACGATATCTGACCAAGCCGAGGATACCACCCGATTTCCCTTTTTGGTATTCTTTAGTAAAATGCACTTTTCTAGTCTTGCACTATCCGAATGTAATCAGAATGTCTGCACACTTTCTACTTGTAACGGTCTAAAATGACTTTGCACTAAAAATGAGGACGCTACTGATTGTTTTTTGTTTGCTCGGTTTGTACATGTAAGTAGCTTGGTTCGAAAATAATTATCTTAGTGCTGCCCATCGTATCAGGACGAGAAAAGACCTCTATACTGTAAAAAGGTTAATTATTCACTGGATTTTAATTTTGCTTATTTCGCTGACTGGAAAATCCGCTAAATTAAAACCCAGTGAATATGAAAAATTTAGCATAGAACACATTATCTGAATGATAAAACCGTGAATTTAAAACCCACTGAATATGCCTGAAATGGTAAATCAGCGAAATTTAAACCCAGTGAAAATTAGTCATTTTACAGTATCTGATTACTAAAGTTCAGTTGACGCACCCAGCAATAATGGATTTACTATTTCGTATATTAATCAGTAACTGTCAATCATTGAAAGACCTATGTGTAAGCTTGATATCAACATATATATAAGAATACATATTCTGCTATTTTCAAAATTGAATTTGATGCCGTTTCGTTTAATTAGTGTTTTAGTCGCAGATCGATAATGATCATCACCTTCCTGCTGACGTTGAACTTTCCAAAACATTTTGTTTTCTTGTGTGACTGGAGTTAGACGACAGCGTCAACAAAATGCCATGTTTTCAACCAGTAACGGTTTTATGCTCGGTACAAAATTGTTTTTATCGAGATAGCGTATATAATAAACACTGCCGCTAAGGGCGCACTCAGACCAACATATACATGTTTTCAAAAAAGGAATAAGGCTATCTGCTTAAAGCATAAATTGGATGAGTCCCCCGCCGTGTCTAGTACAATCAGTTTTTGAAGTTTTTTCTACTAACATATATACGTCCTCTCATCTACAACTGTACTTAGTTCTAACTGACAGTTTTGTTATATCAGTGAACAGCAGAAATGTGTAGAAAAATCGTAATATTATTGTTTGAACACTTCACAGAAATATCTTTGACAAATGCAGCTCTCTATGAGAGCCAAACCTATTTAAAAAACACAATGTTTCAATTAAAAAAAATAATAATTGAATTAAAAAAAACACACAATATAAACACACACATTTTGATAGAGAAAACATCAGTCTCTCTATCGAAACTGAAATCAAGGTCATTCTGATTAGCCCTAAATCCGTATGACAGTGTTTCTTCGGTTCACTATATACCTAATAAACAGATACAGATGCCTAAAATGGTTTTACAAAATAATTTAATAAACCAACAGTTTACCAATAAATTCACATATGTAACACGTCTAAACAAAATCCCTGAAATATTGTTATTAGTTTGCGTCTAGCACGACATGGAACTATTTTGACAGAGCAATATGAACCTATGTGTCAATAACGAAACGGAAGTATATAAACTGATCCCAACTATAGAAGATCAAATGCACAATATGAGAGACCTATTTTTAGAGACATCTTTGAGTTATTTATTAAATTATATACTGAAACAATCACAATGGGGATTGTTATATAATATTGGCATGATCTGGTTCTGATTGTGCTTGTTTTGATGTGATACTAGCCAGGAATCGGAGAAAATATGCACTTTTGAATAAAATAAAACATTGGGAATTAAAATGTGAATTATACACTGTAACCATGTTAATACGGATTAACTTGGGTGTGTCAAAATAACGGCGAACGTTGACCCACATATAACGGATCATATAGCTATTATTACATCGTGAATATTATAATTTGTAATACTGGGATCGTTTCAATATTTTTTACGACAATCTATCACTGTATTTATGTCGTTGTAATTGCAATATTAACAACAGTATAACAATGTAAATTCATTATCACAGTTTGTATTGTCTAAACCTATATATTAAGCCAAATATTAAGGCTAGTCGACATCAACTTAACTAATGACGACAGTTACCCGCCACAGTTCGTATTATCGATATCATTAAATATTTCAATTGAAACAGTACTGAGGTCTCAAAATTTTGGCAACGACAGACGCGATATTGAACCACTGAGTCAACTATATAGAGATGTATACAAAGTTGTCATGAGGATCAATGTGAACTTGTAATTTAAATGGATATGCACATTTTCCACAATATCTCGTATGTGGGAACCCTTATAATATTATTATGAGTAAAATTGCCTTTCGCGTTTCGCTGTGTGATAAATGCTCGCATTGATTTGAGTGTTGCCCAGGTAAAATTTGGATATTTAAGACTCTCATATATCAGATTGCCGGGTACCACATAGTAAGATAGGTAGATATTTAAATAAATGCATAATCCGTTAAACCATTTTTATACGCAACACCAACAACATTTCTGAAAAATCCGTTATACAAAAAAGGAATCAACTGAATTTGTTTGAATTATAATATTGAGAATGGAAAATTGTTTTTATACCAAATGAAAAAATAATGCGAATATTCTTCCACATGTAGCGGATTTTAGTGCTATTATCAGTACGCCATGTAAAGTACTATGTATTTGAATTCAACACATTTCACATCAATTTATGAGTTTATTTATTGCCTTGAATTACTCATTACAACCGGGAACAATTTATATTCTTGTCTCCTATATTGTGAACAATCAGTCGTCGCGTGTGTAAAGTTTAGTCTGTGAATTGTTCAATTTAACGTATGATGTCATACCTGTTTTGAATGAGTCCTGTAGCAACAACATACCGTTTGGGTTCAACAGCACGGTGCTACAGAAAATATTTATAAAGCCTTCAACGGTTATATTATTCTATATATTTGAATGTAAAAGTACAAAGTATAAATAACCCTGCTCGTCGTTGATCTCTTGATTTGGTTTACATATAGAATTGTATTAAATACAGTGTAACCAGTGTAACAGTGTAGCATATTTTATTATTTTCGTGACCCTATGGGTAGCGAGTCGCCTACTTTAACGATGTAATACTAGAAAATTAGCTAGATTTTAATGTTTATTATATTAAATGTTGGCTCATGTTAGCAACATGTTGTATCTCTTCACTAAATCACCTATTTAAAAAAAATAGTTCTACACGATTCAATGGGCATTGTCAGAAAAAATAACCAGAAAACCATAGAAAAAAACAGATGATCACTTTTTCACCAAAACCTGTCCACAATTAAAGGTTGGCTTACCGTAAGGATAATAAAGACGTACCAATTACAAGTATTATGGGAGGATTAAGGTGCGGTGTGTCCCGGATGAGTCTAACTTAAGCAAATCCAAATTTTATGGTGTCTGACGAATATTTACAAAACACAATTTTGAAGAACAAATAGCATCCTGGGGGAGGGAGGGGGGGGGGTAAAATGTTCACAACAGCTGTAAAGAACATAATAAACAGCCACCATGATGACGTCAATGGAAGCGTTGTGTGTCAGATAATCTGAAATTGTTTCAGCGCTTTGTTAATTGATAACAAAAAAACGAACGAATTCTTAAATATATATACTGAAATACAAATTATATACTAAATATAATACTTGACTTGATGACAAACCTTAAAAATTGTCTTTGTTGATACACGAGTAATAAAAAGGCAAGTTTACTGTATAAACCAATATCGAATTAACCCTTCCATGCAATGTTCACTAACTAAAATGTATGTCCATCGTATAGAATATAATTACACATTTCTGTATTGTTATATGTTAGTAATTTTAAAATGAAATCTGCAAGCTAAGAATAAAACTTGAATGTTGCATCAGTGATTATAGAGTAAGTTCGCACATACGACTTAATTAAGCATATGT